CAGAAAAGTTTCTCCAACGACTCTGCCTTTGGCTTGCATTCAGGACAGCTCTCCACCTCGTGCTATCAGCATTTGGTGGAGCACAGAGCAGGCATTCAATACATGTCAGTGGTTTGTGATCTCAATCAAGTGCTGGACATACAACGCCAAGCCAGCTTCCCCTTATGAGTCTGCCTGAGTTTCTAGCATTCAATAGACACAAAGAGAGAGAGCACGCTCTTCCTCTTTCCATAATTGTCTTTGTCAAAGAGGCAAGTAGGTAGGCTAGACTAGGATTTTCCCAAAAGGCTTTTCTTTAAGGATTCTTAGAAGCCAAAGGCTACATCCAGTCTGTGAACGCTCTTTGTTGGGCTAGTTAAGCATTTTCTAAAAATATGAACTGTCAACATTTAAAAAGAGAGATTACACAAAAAGGGGAGATGCCAGGCCCACGTAAACCCAGGCTGAAGGGTCAAACTGAAAGCAGGATGAAGTGCAGGTCTGTGTGAGGAGGAGTTGTGCCAGGAACCCCCGCCCCATGCTGGCCCCGCCTCACTTAGGCAGAAACAGGGGTTGGGGGCTGGGGAGTGGGTTTGCCAGTTGGGACACCAGGCATAGCTGGGGATTGGATTAAACAAAATTCTGTCTCCAGCTGTGTGAGCCTCCCAGTCCCACTCCCTTGCTGGCCTTCCATAACTGTCATTTAACCACCAGATAAACACTTCTCCAGTAGGAGAGTGAGGATTCTGCTTTCAGGAAACTGGCTCGTTTCTGTAGCAAAGGCTAATTTCTTTTACAAAGCTATAAAAGAAAAACCCAAAATGGAAAGTTTAAAAAATAAGATGAACGTGTCTGGGGTGCTTTTTTCTTTAAGTAAGCTTTTATACTATCACTTAATCTTGGAACTATGTATTAATTTTAAACCAAGTACTTACCATATATACTCGAATATAAGCCAACTTGAATATCAGCCAAGGCTGATATTTTACCACAAAAACTGCATTAAAAATGTGCTGAAAAACTATGCTTTTATACTTGAGTATATATGGTATTTCTTTTTTTTTAATTAAAACTTAATTATTTCTTGATATAAAGCTCTTTCCTACAAAAATGAGTGTCACTGGATTTGTTTCTCTAGTCAACCCAGCCTAACACAGAGGGAGAAAGCACAGGTGACAAGAAAAGCATAGAAAGAAAAAAGTAAAGACGGAAGGAAGCAAAGGACAAAATAAGGTGGGTTCTGCCAAAATAGTGACTGGAAGATCAAAGCTTCAAATAAGCCAACCCCAGAAAACCCACTGGCATCCAGTCAAATCAGACTTATAGCAGCCCAAAATCGGGTTTCCAAGGCTGTAAATCCTTGAGGCTTGCTGTATAGACTGTATAGACACATGATGTAATGCTGAAGGTTGATCCAGAGAAAACAAACCTCTCAACTGCCAGCTATGGACTCCAACCAGAGGGAGAATCATAAGGTCCTGTCTTATATACACACAACGACACAAGTAAAGGATGGGAACCCATGACCAACCACAGCACATGTAGAGACACCAAGGCGTCCAGCTAACTCTAAGAATGAAATTAGATCGTCAGTGTGTATGATCTCCAGAAAAGTTGATGGGCCCTTGGGTATACTTTCTAAAACACAATGTAGCACAATTAAGAAGCCCTGGTTTTCTCTGGCCCAGTCAGACTACATTTACTGAATTGTTTAGTTAATCCTTTAACAGAGGTTGGCACAAATTTAGAGAGAAATTAGTAAACCCAAGTTTCTTTGAGGAACTTCTATATAAACTGGGGATACCACCTCTGCAGAATACCTATAGGGAGGAAAGAGAGCCACCTTCAAATGACTAAAAAAGGTTATTAACAGGGAGGAGGACAAGGCCCGTTCTTAGAAAGCCACCACTCTATGGACTGCAGGGAACAGAGCAGGGCTTAATCTAAGAAAGAGTTTTCCAATGGCTGGAACTATCCTAAGACCACAGAACCTTATAATGGAAGACATCCTAACCTGGATTTAAGTTAGTCTTCTAGAAAAGTATGGGGGAAGGAAAAGGGCAAAGAGTGAAAGTTGAGTGCATAAGGGCTTCTGGGTGGCTACAAATATGCCATTTTTTTATTAAAGTGACCGCAAGTGGAGTGTCAGTATTTTTCTCTTGGACTTGAATTATTAATACAATTATCATTAGAACAAGTAGCTGTGGTGGCACAGTGGTCACACATTGGGTTGCAATTCACAAGATCAACAGCTCAAAACCACTAGCTGCTCCTGGCGAAAGATGGTGCTTTTCTACTCTTTGTAAGGAGCTACAGTCTTGAAAATCCACAGGGGCAGTTCTACGCCGTCCTATAGGGTCTCCAAGAATTGCTATCGATTTGATGGTAGTGACTTTGACTCTTAGTATCATTAGAATTGATAAAAACAACAAATAAACTAATTTTTTAGAATTACCGATTATATATAAAAATAAACAATTCATTTTAAGAGTATCCTTTAAGATAAGAGGAGAATCCAGTTTTGGTCTTTTGATTAAAGGATGCTTCAGATTTTTTGGTACCCTGGGGTTTTTAAACAAATCACACTTAAGTTTAAAAGATCAGAAATTTGTCTCCACCTTGAGGTCCCCCACCCCCTTTCACATTTGGTGGGTGGAGCAGGGAGGGGAGAAAGAATATGGCTGCCTTTATAAGACTATCAACTTTATGAAACAGTATGTATGGAAAAGGTGAGTGTGCATTTCCTAGTTTTAATATTGCAAACCTAAATCATATAGCAGGTCCTACCAAGCGAGAGATGGCACAACTGCTTACCAAGAAGTTGGCCTTACAAAAGCCCTTCTAAACGACACAAATTGCCATACCCTAGACTAAGTCAGTACAGAAATCAGTAGAGAGATGACAAAAAACAAAACAAAAATCAGCAACCCTATTACTAATTCTTTCCCCCCCCCCTTCTCTTTATCCAAATGTGAAAGATTCCAGAGAACAATCTCTGGGGGATTATCCACTGTTTCAAAAGTTACATTGACTCTTTAGTGATGGGAAATTTTGCACAATTATGGGTGATAGTCACACAACCACCACTTATCTGTCAGTCTGTCCTGTGGAATTTTTTCTGTTGTGCACAGGGTTTCAGTCTATTGTGTATGGGGTCACTATGGGTTGGAGCCAACTCAATGGCACCTATAACAACAAGCTGCACAACATGATCGATGTAACTGATCAATAAACGGGTAACTAAAAAATGTTAAACTGGTAAGTGTTGTGTTCTATATATCTATTTACAGTCATGATAATAATTTAAAAACCAGCATACTGACTTGGTTAAAGCCTTCTTAAAATTAGGCAAAAGATATAATTAAACCCCAAAATGATTTCTGCAGTATATCAATCTAGCACTTAGAAAGCAGTGTCTGAATGCAGAGCTGCAGCCGGGACTGGATCCTCACTATGTTCAGGTAGACTGCTGCTGCACCAGCTGGTGTTAACTTTAATTACAAGGTAAATGGCTGCTCTCAAGCTTTCCCAATTCCAAAAGGAGAAAAAGGTCTTTTGTAACTTATTTAGTAACCAGACCACCAATCCCCAACCACAAGATACAGGCACAGAAAATGGAAAGGGACATGTTTGGTAATAATGTTAATTCAGCAACAGGTAGAACCAATAACCTAAATAAACTCTGAACACTAGATACAGTTTGTATAATGCCCTTGTCATACTCCTCTATAACTTTCCTTAGCGGCCATTTTCCAGCTTGATGCCAAGTTTCACTGGGAACAGATGGCTGTATTGAGCTGTCTGAATGTAAAAAATAGACATTTTGCTACCAGTAGATAGCAAACCAATGTAACATCCAGCTGAAGCACATGAGGGCATGACTATTATAAAGAATGAGGAATGGGCCTGTTGTGTCTGTAGGCTCTGATGGCACAGAACTACATTTATGGAAAGCTGTAAGTTTTTCTTGGAATACATCCCGAGCAAATGCAGAACTATGTCTTCATAAGTGCTTTGATATCTTTGTTGTTGTTAGCTGCTATCGAGTCAGTTCTGACTCATAGCAACCCTGTGTACAGCAAAACACTACCCAATCCTGTGCCATCTTCACAAGCATTGCTATGTTTGAGCCCACTGTTGCAGCCACTGTGTCAATCCATTGTTGAGAGACATCCCCATTGTCACTGAGCCTCCCTGTATAAAGCATGATGGTGCTGGTGGTGCTCTCAAGTAACTGGTGATGTTAGACTGTTAACCATAAGACCAGCAGTTCAAACCTACCAGCCATTCCACAGGATGACTAGATGAGGCTATCTGCTTCCAGAGAGAATCACAGCCTTGGAAACCCTATCTAGGGCCACAATGCATTGGATGTGGCACAATCTATTGGATGACAATAGGATTTGTTGTGGTTGGTGGCTGCTCTTCATAACATGTTCAAAGTACATGAAAACAAGTCTCGCGTTCTCACTTCTAAGGATCATTCTGGTTGTACTTCTTCCAAGACTGATTTATTTGTTCTTTTGGAATTCCATTGTGCATTCAATAGTCTTTATCCATACTATAGTTGAACGGTATCACTTTTTCAGTCTTTTGAAAATTCGTTGTCCAGCTCCTGCATGCATATCAGGTCACTGAAAATACCAAGCGCACCTTAGTCCTCAAACTGACGTTTGCTTTTTAACACATTAAAGAGGTCTTTTCTCCATTAACATACCAACCACTCTGATCAGGACTGCAGAGGTCTTGGACAGAATGGAAAGAAAATGTGGGACAAAATTCAAAATCACAAAGATAAGCTAGATTGGTGGGACCCCGCACAACGATGGCCTTTCTTTTCTTTCTTTCTTTCTTTCTTTCTTTCTCTCTCTCTCTCTCACACAAACACTCACACACACACACACAAACTCACATACAAAACAAACAAACAAACTCACTGCCATATCAAAGCAATTTCAACTCTATGCCCCTTAGACACCCTTTAAATCTGGCGCTGAACCTGGGTTATAGGGCATACACACCTGCTTCTGGATCTGCAGGAATTTTCCACATGTACAGGTTGAAGTCATCAGAGCCTGATAGGATGTACTGTTTGGACAAAAAAAAATATTTATAAACACACATATCTATAAAGATGAAAAGCTTATAAATAAGATCAATGGATATCTATTCATAAGGCACCATATAGGAAGTATACCTTAAAACTACCTGCAAACCAAAAGACTTTGTAAACAAACAAACAAAAAATCAAAAGACTTTGTTGGCTACTAAGAGGAATTAGGGGAGAGGGCATAGAAGGGTTGCGCCCATGATGAACTTTTTAGGCCATTCACTACGGAGCTCACTGGCATGGGGCCAGTGTGTACAGGTATAAAAGGACCAGAATCCACTGTCAGATTCCGTTTCTGTAAGCTAAAAAAAGCTTTGAGAAGCATCTGGAATCCAAGGGAGGGAGACGGTTTACAGGGCTCTCAATCCCTTATAAAAATGATGTCTTAATATTTCAGAGGATCTTATGGATAGAGATGGTTTACAGATATATGGTCGTATTCTGCCCAAATTTATTTCTAGGAATGAATAAGAGCAAACATTTTGATCCAAAATAGTAATTGTTCTCACTTGCAACTCATGTCAAAGCAGACACACACACACACACACACACACACAGCCAAACTGTTTTAGTGGAAAATAAAGTCTTCTCTAAGTCCACTCATGAAGATTTTTGACCCATGTTAAGGGGAATGTGTTATCATCATAAACAGGAAAAGTTCTTACTTCCCTGAGCTTCTTCAGTTGTGCTCTCAAGAATGAGCTCTCAGCTCACTCACAGAAGTTACCTCATCACCACTGAATCTACGTTAATTAAAGATGCCGCAGATCACCGTCACGTTGAACCTGTCATCTGAAGTCTAGGGCAGAAAGAATATGGACTTTGCAATCAGACATAATCTGAATCTCTCGTTTTCTAGCTCCACCATATATAAGCTATATGACCAGTGAACATAATAGATGCTGAAGCCTATGTTATTAGTTGGTGAAATGGGAACGTGATTGCAAACAGGATTCACCATCAGAGTGACTCTCAATAAAGTGCCTCCACCCACATACGTCCAGCAGAAGCCATCCTATATGGATTGTTTTCGTCAATTAGGATTGTTGTTAGTAGTCATCCAGGCAATGCCAACTCATGGTGACTCCATGTATGCCAAATAGAACAGTGACTCTTGGGAAGATCACAGGCCAGTCTACCAAGGTGCCTCTGGGCAGGGAGACTGAAATACTATCCATTAGCAACCTTAGCTAGATAGCTTCTTATGGACTACTAGATACCTCACGAAGATGTAGCAACTGTTCCTACTCTAGAAAAAATGTACACAACCACAGGGGAGGCTATCTCAGAATTTCCTCTTCTGCACAAAGGACATTCTCAGCTTCTGAAATACCCTAAGAAAGAGTCATTTTATTTCCAAAGTAAGCTCAAACCAAACCCACTGCCATTGAATTGATTCTCACTCATAGTGACCCTGTGGTTTTATGAGACTGTACCTCTTTTACAGGAGCAGAAAGCCTCTTCTTTCTCGCAAAGAGTAGCTGGTGGTTTTGAACTGCTGGCCTTGCTGTTAGCAGCTCAACACATAACCCACTATACCACCAGGGCTCCCCTATCTTCAAAGTAAAGGATACATTAAAATGACCTGGCTTTTGCTTAGGAAGCCCAAACTAGTTATTTCCCTACATACTGGTAGGCACTTTATGTTAGGTTAAGTGTCCTAAGTGTCCCTACTGCCAGCTGACATCTTCAAGCAGGAAGCCACTGCCAACCCACATGAGTCAGTGCCAGGGGTATGCTTTAAACTCGATCGCAAGAAGATAGGACCGATCTAGTGTAATTAGGATTTATGACTGCATTGTGTAGAAGCAAGAAGTGAACAATTCTGAGAGCTCGTTTATTTCCACAGTTGAAAACAAAAGTGTTTTCATGTCATGTTGAAATAAGCATTACTTCTGACCCCATCTGTTTATTCTCTAGACAAAGAAAGATCCACAGTTTTCTGAATAAAACTTTTCACTTGAAAATGACACTGACACGGGGAAGGTAGAGGGAGGGTGGGTTGGAAAGGGGGAACCGATTACAAGGATCTACATGTGACCCCCTCCCTGGGGGGCGGACAACAGAAAAGTGGGTGAAGGGAGACGTCAGACAGGGCAAGATATGACAAAATAATAATGTATTAATTATCAGGGGTTCATGAGGGAGGGGGGAGGGAGGGGAAAAATGAGGGCCTGATGCCAGGGGCTTAAGTGGAGAGCAAATGTTTTAAGAATGATGAGGGCAATGAATGTATAAATATGCTTTACACAATTGATGCATGTATGGATTGTGATGAGTTGTATGAGCCCCTAATAAAACGACTTAAAAAAAGAAAAATGACACTGACAACAATTCCAAAAAAGGATCAGTCAACTGACACACAACTTCATGCTTCACAAAAATACTGGAAAAAATCAATTTATTAATCTTTAGAACTAATCCTGGTATACTTCAAATTAAAATCTTCTTTTCCAAAAAAAGAGAAAGATAAATCTTCATTGCCCCGACGTCACAGTCTATCCTTGCAGTTTCTGAGGAGTTAAGAAGTGGAAATTCCCCCCATACCAGCTACGTGGACAACTGCCCCTCCCCCCAGAAGAATTTACTTTAGAGGACTGCACTGAAGCTGCAGCTAGGGAAGAGGGTCATATCTGATCAGAGACACACGGGAGCAAATGAAGGGGGAGGAAGAGAGAGTAGAGCACATCCTGGCCCACCAGGCCTGGAGGACGATATTCCCCCTTGGAACAGCCAATGCACAAAGTGGACCATATAGCTGATCCCACTACGCTGTCCCTTGCTGGCCCAGGGCCCTAAGGGGGACAAAAACTGGAGGTTCAGTGTCGGGAATGGTCCAGACTGACCCCGCAACACCAAGGCCAACCACTAAAGGCGTGTGGCAGAGCAAAGGTGGGAGCAGAGCAGGGAGCCCCCAAGGGAGTACAAAGGGCAGACTCTGGGGCCAGAGTGAGGCACCCCATCAGACCTGAGTGAAGGACACGCCTAGAGATAAAAAATCAGACCTTGATCTATTTATAGGTTTTTCTTTCTGCTTAAAATTTTTTTCTTTTGATTAATTTATTATTTTACGGGTCATTGGTTTTCTTTTATGTTGTCATCGCTGTGTCCTCATTTGTCGCCTATCTTTGCTATGGCTTGATTTTTGGTGCATATTATCATCTCTACAGATCTATCTAGATAAGATAGGCTGGATGAATAGTCGGGGGGAGAAAACAACAGGACCAATGGTTCCGGGGGGACACGGGAAAGGGGGAAGCGGGGGTAAGGAGGTGGTGCTGACCAACCCAGAGACGGGGGAGCAACAAGTGATCCAAAATCAGTGGCAAGGAGGGTGCGAGAGGCCTGGTAGGGATTCAGCAAGGGCAATGTAACCGAGAGAAATTACTGAAACCCAAATGAAG